AATGTATTTGTCTTCAGATATCTTATTCAATAATGGCAAAGAGTCTGGCAAGACCGTGAGGTCTTTTTAAATAACATCTATGTTGGTACAAGTCGTTGCCAATATCAGTTTTGGTACTGTTCATCCTATTGAACAAATACGTAAAGCCAACTTTATTAAATCTCATTCGCTGCGTTCTTCCACAAGTTCTCCATATACACGATGCCTGCGTCAGTACCCAACCATGAGATTTTGTCTAAGACCTCGCTCCATGGCCACGCGTTCATTGGTATTCCTGATGACCTCCACTTGATTATCCAAATAGTGAGCCAGTCGTCATCATGTCTCTCTTGAATTTGAGAAGTGCTTGTGTCTCTATCCGGTATATTCCCGAAAACTAGTGCATAGGCACCAATTACTGTCCTCCACACCCATGTCTCCTCAATCGCCCCGGGATTGGTTAAACGGGGCAGTTCGGAAGGCTTCCCGTTTGTCATCGACAAGAGCGGGCCTAATATTCTGTCGCTCTTTGCTTTCGATAACGAGCCGTATAGCCATTTAAAGAGTTGAGTATCATGCCGTATATACTTCTCTCGGCTTGTCATGCATGTATAGATAGAATGACTTTGGTACTCCAAAGCTAGATGTGAAAATAGGTAAGGCACATCTCCCCAGGCTCTGACGGGATCACCAGCTTCTGAGATAGGTGGTAGGACAGAATGGGGATAAACTGGTGGCCGCTTAATCTGAATCTGAGAAGGAGAGTTAGGATTCGAAGAAGCAGATGCCCACATAAGAGCGGAAACCCTGCAGACGCATCAGCCTTGCCAACTTTACGTGATGAGTTGGATAGGACGAACATAGCAACTTTTCTTCGAAAAAAATCAATATATAGATGGCGACCGCGCTGTTTTTCGATAGAGTCGATTACTGTAAGAAGCCCGTGAAGGTGGGCCTCGGCCTCGCGAGATTGGTTTTCGCCTAGCTATGCACTGTATTAGTATCAAGGAAAGGACTTAATGGTAAGACTTTGCGTGAGACTCACAGTGGCACATATGATGCCTAGTATAACATGCGGAAGCCAATCGGGAATTTCTGAAGCGGACGGGTTCTCGACTTGTTGTTTGATAGAATGAATTACCTCACCCTTGTGAAGGATACATGTAGTTTTAACGGTCTCTTGTGACTGGGGCGCCAACTTGAAGCCTTTGTGGGTGCCATGGACAACAAGAGCCGTACGGAAGAAAGTAGAGTTCGATGTATCCATCTGGAAATTGTGAGGGTGTTTAGGAAACAATGCACGAACTCTTGTCTGACAATATACGACTGTATCATGTCTTAGCGCAGGAACGGCGCCAAGATGGGCCAACTTACAATGGTGGAAGAGTTCAGGCGACATACTGACCATTTCAATGGGAAGCGTGTCAAAAGGATCCGCGGGAACGCCAGAGAAAATGTGAGATAGATCCGTAGTCATGGGTACGGCCGGTTTATCCCATCCCCTCAAACCCGTTGACTGTGAAGTCGTGCCATCGTTGGAGAAAACACACTCGCTCCCACGGACGAGGCAAGATTTGCTGTCAACTTTGAGCAAATTACTTCGCAATCATTGAAGTCGGTCTTTTCACTAACCATACAGGTTTCCCGCCATCGCATTGCATGCGACGCTTCTTGCATGCTGCACAACCGAGTCGTGATTTGGTATGGGTTCTCCGCCTGCGGAAGTTGGTTGAATCGGGAGTTGGTGGGAAAGGGGGCTTTGACCGAGCCTGCTGGTCGATGTCGCAATGATTGAGCTCAAATACAGAAGCTAGACGGCCAAAGTCGTCCGAATCAGTTTGTGCTGGAGACGCATCCATTTCGCGCATTTGAAGACGGCGTTGCTCTTGATGCGCCAAAGCCTACTCATTAGCTGCTTCAGGCCGAGCACATCAGATTGTGTCATGATCTAACAGGGAACGCTTTGATTTTATTCTCCAACCTGAGGTCCGACAATGCTATCGGTCTCTTGGCATCGGGCTTACTTTCGACAGTCTCATTGGCCTGGCATCGGCATCCCCATTGGGCACACGGGAGCAACCCCAAAAGCCAGTTGCATTGCTTTTGATTTGGTCGGCAAGCGGCAAGCGTTAAACTTCCAACTGCTTCTCAGACTAAAGCGGCCTCTGCATTGGAGAAGTGCCAAATTTGGATCACAGGTGCGTGGCCAAGCCACAAAGCTGAAGTAAACTATCAAGATGACTCAGCTATTCCACCAATAGCCATGAAACATGAGCTGAACTACTGCATACCGCGTACTCGATTTTTGCTTGGTGCTCCTTCGAAATCTGTGTCGTAGGATTCAGTTCACCGTATCGCCGTGACTTTGCTAAACAGGTGAGATCAGACAAAACTCGAAGAGGCAAGCATGCACAAAGCCTATATGCAATCTTCTTACCATCAATAGCGGTCTTTCTCAATGATGGACAGTTATTGGACTTCACGCGATGCACCAGTGCTAGGAAGTGTGCTCATGAGCTGTACACTCAATCTTAAACGCATAATTTGCAAATTTTGGCGTGAAAAGCTTTTCAGATTTCTAGATACCTGACAGCAGCACGACTTAGTTTATTTTACCTGATATATCCGAACTCAGTGTCGCACTCGATTATACATGATGACGTTCATACGCTATTGCCGAGTTGCTATATGGCTCTATTGCTAGGTAAGCAACAGCGATTGAGATTTACGATGATTTACCATTAACGTTGGAAAAGTCTTCCAATACGTGACTTCAGTACGCCAGTACAAACTCAACCGCTTCATTCAAATACCTGTATTGCGCGCCTTCATGAACCTAGGTAAAGCTTTGGCTTCTGGAAGTTAATTCAGTGTGCAAAATTGTATCGAATTGAAGCTAGGCTGCGTCAATTCAGGAATGATCCTCCTGTTTTGTGCAATTGTTCATCATAATATGGTTGAAAAGCAAGCCAGCCCTTCTCTGGCCCACCAACTTCCTGAGCAGAATGAGCCGCCTCTTTCTCGTTGATAAAGTGTTTCTTTAATCCACCGGCAGCAGCAGCATCAGCCAAAAGTTGCGCATGACACGTCTTGTCGAGACTGATAAACCAAAATGCGGCTTCGTCGACAGATTTGCCGACTGTCAAAAGGCCATGATTTTGTAGAATGACAGCTTTGCTTGACCCTAAAGCATTGGCGATCCTCTGACCCTCCTCATGGTCTACTACTACACCACCAAAATTTGTGTAGACCGAATGACTCTTGTAGAAGCGGAGAGAATCCTGCGTCAACATCTCGAGTTCCCGGCCAAAGGCCGAGAATGCCTTGCCGTAAACGCTATGCGCGTGGCATGCTGCATGAACGTCTGGCCGGGCCTTGTGGATCGCGGAATGAATGGTGAAAGCGGCGGTATTGATGGGCTCGCTACCTTCTACAACCAAGCCGTTCTCATCAACCAGTATCAAGTCAGATACTTTGATTAGAGAGAAATGCATTGAGAGGGGGTTGAGCCCTGTGTAAAATGTTAGCAGCCCTCCCTGACAAAAGAGATGTACACATACAGAAGTGATCTGTCAAAATCGGATCGCGAACAGATATGTGACCGGCGACACCTTCATCATATCCCCGTTCGGCAAAGACGCGAAAGGCTCCAGCAAGATGTTGTTTCCGATACAGCCGTTCCTCTTCAAGCGTGTTGAACTTGGGATACCGCCGGATCTTTAGCTCCCTTCCGCTCTTAGTCAAGCCCATGGACTGGACCTGTGGAGGCGCATCGATTTTCACGGAAGGATGAGCAGTTGCATTGTGTTGATTTGAAGTCGCCGTGAATGAGCGGATGGTTGCTGGTGCCTGGCAACTGAGGACCCTGAAAATGTGGCGAGCGTGCCACGCTTGTCGGAGATTGCTGGTTCGCAGCATTGCTGTACTTAAACTCAATGCCATCCTCGCATCAGGCTTCACAAGGCGATTCTCCGTGCCAATGAAGAGATTATCAGAGCGAAGTTGAGTCTTCAAGCGAAGACCAACGGCACGTCATCTTGCGCGACTCGGACTGGCACCCCCGCATCTCCACATCCGTGATATCTCCGGAAATCGGGACCTGCCGATCATTAAGTTACAAGCGGCTCTGTGTTAGTCCTCTAGCGCCGCACGAGGAACGTGAAACGATCATGCAACTTCCATTACCGATTCAAGTTCAAGGGAACGTGTGTCAGGGGAAACTGTGCCGACGTAAGGCTTGTTTCCGCGGCTCGCCCGTTTGGTTTCGGTCGATCGAATACGGCAACTATCAACGCGCGGCTCGGTGCAGGTCCGGCTCCGGCTGCCTTATCATGTTCGCACCACAACGTCGCACTCAATGCCGCAAGGACGCTTACTAGCTGAATGGAAAAGGATTTAACAGCCTATTGATGGCAGGCCTAAGCTCCTCCGTGAACAAAACATCGAATGGACAGCGGCCGCGGCTAGTCTTCGAATGGCGCTAGGGGATGACATTATTTCGCTAAACCCATGTAGTGCTGACCAGCCGCGCTGCCCCGTCACGATTTCTTCGCTCGAGATTGGAGGGCATCACCTTGGCGGGGTGTGAGCTTAATTATAGAACCCTGGTCTCTTTCGTTACAGGGCACGCCACGAAGCATGCTACGATATTGGGGGCGCCTTATTAAGGGTAGCTCTGGAATCAATAATCCCCTGTTGTGAGATTTTGCGAGATTCGCCCGTCCCATCGCTCTCCTGGTGTCCTAAATACCTCAACTTCGTTCGCTGCGTTGTAGTTCGTTTCTTTGCTGTTACCCTTTGCATGCTGCAAGGAGATAGCAGTTGGATTCAAGTCGTTCTTTGCTGTTTTCTATACGTTCTTTTCTCTTTAACTCGCGAAAACGATGCTCGGAGGATCAGGGCGCACAGCCCTGCGCCTTCAATCGGCGCTATGGGCGCTGATCTCGGTAATTACTTTTGTGCCTCTGGTGGCTGGAGATATCGCGGCGGATTTGGAAAATGCACTTGCAGACAAGGCAAATATGACAATTTATCGCAGCTTGATCAAGGTAAGCAGTCAGTATGAACACAGTTGCTTCTCAATCGCTGACATCAAGATAGCAACACCCAGACATACTCAAGAATGTGTCCGGAGAAGTAACGGTAAGTGGTGCTATCCACCCCTTTTAAGAAACAAAGATTGACAATAGACAGCTCCTGGCACCGAATGATGCCGCTTTTGCGAAAGTGCAGGCATGGAACTCAAAGAATGCCACCATGGTTGAGACTCTTCTCAAGATTGGATCCTTGCAAGGCTCAGTGTCTATGGGATCTATCAAAGACGGCGCGTCCATCTTTGCGCCAACTCTTATGGACGATCCGACTTACTCTAATGTTACCGGCGGCCAGAACGTGATCATTACACACCAGCCAGGTGACATTTATGTTGTCACTTCGGGTGTCGCTGCACGGAGCACGATACTGGAAACCGATGTGGCTTTCGACAGCGGCTTGATTCAGATTGTGGACTCATTACTGGTAGTACCAGCGCGACTAGAAACTACAGCTCGCGATGCTTATACTGATCTGACATCCTTTGTTGGCGCACTGTATGCCACGGATCTGATCGCCGAGTTCGCTGATACCCCAAACATCACTCTTTTCATTCCGCGCAACGCAGCCTTCCAGCAGCTGGCCGGGACCTTCTCTAACATGGCGACGGAAGATCTCAGGAAGGTCCTGCGGTACCACATGGCAACAAAGATGGTCGTACATTCCGAAGACTTGTTAAACGGCACCAGCGTCACCATGGGCGACGGTAAAACGATACATATTACGCGTTTCAACAATAACATCTACGTGGATTCTGCACAAATGATCCAAACGGATATTCTCATTGCCAACGGCGTGGTCCAGATGATTGATAATGTTCTCAATCCTGACAATGCTGATGCTAATCCAGATGTCACACAAAACACCCAAACCCCAGTGTTTCCACTCCAGGGAGCTACATCCACGGGCACAGCCGCCCCGACTCCATTTGCATCGGCCTTGCCATGCACTATCAGCTGTCCGGTGACAAATTCACCATCTGGATCAGTCTCGGCAGCAACTAGTAAGCCGAGCAGCTCGAGCAACGGTGTTCCACCAGCAAGATGTACGGGGTTGGGTGGGGCAGGCATCGGGTTGGGCGTTGCGATGGGTGCTGCCGGCATGAACTATATAGGGCTGGTATAATTCATGAGATGATTGTTACCTGTTCACTAGAAGGGTCCTCAGGCATGTGGCTAGTTCGTCTTACTACTATAGAAAGTAGTAATTCACGCCTCTAGAACAGGCAAGGACACGTGGGAGAGGCTTCGTCATTTGCATTTAGATGATACCAGTTTGTTTTCTCCTCAAAGTATGGCAATCAAGTGGCGCTTTGGACACCTATGTATTTTACCCGCGATTTGCAAGTCATCATACGGAGGTCCGTGTATGTGATTGGCACTACTGCTCACAGTTCGTATGAAATCCACGATGCTGCCATAATATGACCCAGGCTTCTTAGACGCATTCATGTGGAGCGTTTGCAAATGAAATAGGGGTCCTCTAAGGGTCTGACTTGTCTCGTTGGCATGACTTTTGACAAATCGAGTAATACCAGGGCTTACACCACTTGCTCTTTTGGGAAGATACCCCCTTATTTCGATATTGGGCTACTCTTCGTTCACTAATCTGAGACTTGCAGTTGGCCCGCCAATAATTAACGGGGTTCTTGTACGACCACAGAGAATTGACCGAAGAACTAAATAAATCAAAACGGGATGCAAAGAGTAACGATTTCATGGAACTTGGTTGGAGATTGCATTGGCGCTTATGTACCCCTTTTCCATATTCACACAAGCTCCCCAGTTACTTTGCCTCGGAACGATACCGCCACCTTTTCTCATCTCAACAATGACCTCTGCTAAGAACGCATCATTCTTATTGCTTTTATCATGATAACATCGTAAGCAGAGAGCATTTCTAATGCCTCCACAACATGCATTTCCATCTTCTTACTCAGAGTTAAATATGACTAACGATCATTCGAACAGACTAAGTGTACTGGGACTTCCTATCCTTAACAAGTCGCATTGACATTCCAGTAAGTATACTGTTTTAGAACCCATTACGCATTAGAACTAGCATCGGATCGAGTAGTCTTAGTATCAGTGAGACTTAGAAACTTTCCTTTCATAGGGATGTAGGACATTTCTCACTACTGTCACTATACATGTCAAACGAGTGCCCCTGCTACAAACGATACGTCTCTTAGTAGCCCGTCGACATGCCACCAAAACAGAAGACTCAGGAAAAGGACGATGCAGACTTAATTGAGTCTCAGGGTATCTAGCTGTTCTGAATAATCACACCTCACAAAGACCACGGTGCTAATTGAAGGCACAGAGGCCGCACCGATTTCCTCCAAAAATCGATCTTATTTGCGTTACGATGTCTACAGTCATTTCGTCATTGTACCTCACTGCCACTTCGACAAGTTACATCCCAGGACCGATTAGTCCTCGCGTTTATATGCTCTGACCCAGTATTCAGACTGTAAGAATATGCCGCAGCAGATAGACTTCCAAGGCTTTGTAGGGTCGACAAGTGCAAAATCAAATCGACGCCACAGCTTTACACGCAAAACATTAGCCACATCATACGATAAATCTGTGAAAGGGTTACTTACCTCGACGAAAATCTTGTTTAGTTCAATAAGAGCAACGTTCCGTCCAAGACACTGCCAGCGACCGTAGCTGAAAATCAACTCCAGAGTTGACTCCATCTGCTTGAGTTTCTCCGGGCTGGCCTCAAGCCACCTTTCAGGACGGAACTCATCTACGTCTTCACCCCAGATCTCTGGCCGCCTAAAGATCCCCCATGCACAGTAGCCAATCTTCGTGCCTTCGGGGAAATACATTCCTTTAAAGGTATCTCCGCCTTTGGGAACGTCTTTGGTCATCAAGCCAGTGACAGGGGGGAAGATTCGAAGGCCTTCTTTGATCACTGCTTGCAAGTACGGCATTCCTCTGGCCTCGGCATCAGAGATGATAGGTGTTGAGCGCTTAGTGGAAGCAATCTCGGCTCGTAAAGCGTTGACGACCCGGGGGCTTGTCATTATGTACAGCATTGTGGCACGAATGGCTGTTGCAGTAGTGTCAGAGCCGGCGAGTACCTGTACCAGAATTTCGGACTGAGCCTCCTGTTCGGTAAGGCCATGGGCTACAAATGATCCCAGCATATCCTTTTGGACCTTCTTGTCAGGACCGAATCGTTCCGCAGCCTTTTCCTTTGCAATGGCCATGATTTTGCCAAGCCCAAGCCGATCTTTCTCGGAAGGCAAAAGGCTCTTCAGCAGAGGAGACTTAAGAAGCTCCATAAGCCACGGCAGAACTGTCGTAACAATAATTGTAGGCACATTCTCTTCAGTCGTCTTAATATACTCGTATACGTCTGTGTCTGTCTCGAGAAAGCCAAAGGGCTGGCCGTAGGCAACAGTGGAGATAACGTCGAGGGTGAAGAACTGGGCTTTCCGACCCAAGTCGAATGGCTTATTGACAGAGACATACTTCGAATCAAACAGGTTGATCAAGTTCAAGATTGTCTGATCAATCTTCTTTTCAAGACCCTCAACCTCCCTCCCGGAATAGCCCGCGGCCATCTTTGCTCGTAGTTCGTTGTGCTTGTCGTCATCTCTCATAGACAGAACATTGTCCATATGGGGATTGAGTCGCATGCCATGGTACCAGTCGGAGCGTCGGTATCCCGTTCTGACATTTAGCATGTGCTTCATCAGGTCTGGGTCGTCCGTGATGAGATCGTTGGGTCCGATCCGAGCGACGGGGCCTGTGGGTTACACGGCGTCAGCATACGGCCTTGTCGGAAGATAAAGACTCTTCTCAATTGGTTCTGGCATGCTGCGTACCATATTTCTGGCAGACCTCATAGACATCCAGATGAGTTCTGCCTCCGCCAACGTGCTTGATCATCCACCATTTGGAGAATCCGGCGACAGATGGACCTTTGTACTGCCGCAGCCGGAAGAATTGCCGGACGGTGGAGATGATGCTCGCTAAAAGAAAAAGCAAGATGACCGTGCCAAGCGCCAGCAGCGATGGGCTTACCGCCAGCAGGCGATCCTTTGTTTCAATCAACGTGACCATTGTGGAACAAAGGACACAGAAGGTTTGGATGATGCTACAAGGAATGCACAGGGGCGGCACGAGGCAGAAGCAGCTGGCAAGAGAGTTGAGGGTCCCATGTTGCGTTCATGGGCGCCTTCGTTACTTAGTTATGGCTACCCTGTTACTGGTCACACACACTCCACTGCAACAAGGCAACGGGCCGGACCTAAGCAGACGCACTGTCGTCGAGCTAGGGGAAGACCCATGGCCGTGGACTGGGGGCGCTAAGCTGGAAAAGAGGCCATAACATATCATAATATTACAGGTCATCTTGGGCGATTCCCTGTTCGCACATGCTGATGGGTCTGTAGAGCATTGACTCGCAAGATCTCCGCACGAGTGTCCAATCATGCCCAGAGTGCGGAATGGAGTGCATCTGCCGCGCAGTGGGCGCAGCCATGGTTCGATCCTCTGTAAATTGCAATTGGTAGGTGTGTGCGGGACGCTCTCTCTGGATGGATTCGCCAATGCCTATGGCCCAACGCCAACGATTCGAGACACGCTCATGCTGCTCGCCATTGAAGTTGCACTGCGTCTCCCAGGCCCTTGGCTAGAGGACCAGCAGCCATGTGGGCCTAGACGCACAACCCTACAGTGCAATATTTGATGACAGCAGATGACATATAAGGCTCTAATTACCTAAGTAGCTTGATCATCTGATAAGACTTCATTTCAACTCTTGGCCGGGCATGCTAAAGTCGCCCTTTTCCACCGCCGCCTATCCCTTGGTCCATTTCTTTCCCGCCCCTAACGTTAACCAAACCTTACGTTACGATAACGAACCGCCGGCATGTGCAGGTCGTCGCCTCCGACAGAAGAACCGGACGCGCCACTGGTCGCTGATGTGAGCTCCCACCAAGGCCGAGCGAAGCTCAATTGTCGGGTCAATAGACTGACGAAGATGGCTTTGTAGACAGAGGATGTCGACGATGGCGATTCAGCGCTGAACCTGGTGAGGTCGACCCCAATCTGCCCGTGCCGTGGTGGGTTTTTGGTAGCACAGGCCATTGCTGACAGACTGCCTGGGTAAAAAGTCCGTGGTCAGCTCCACAACATCGATCAACTCTAGTATCCTGGCGTATCGACAAGAAAACGGAAGGACATATCACGCCTACAAGGAGGGAAGTAAGTGCCGTGTGCCCAATGCGAATTGACCAACGGCTGATGTTAGTCCAGAATATGTCCTACCAAATGACGAGGTAAGACACGACCCCCAAATGAGGTCACCCCTGCGTGCATGGGTGTTAACAGTTTTTCCAGACCGAAAATGAGCGCTTAGGTGAGCGAGCATGATTGAATTCAGTGCCTGGGAAACCTCTAACGTTTGACAGATCTTCAACACCATCTTATGACATTAACTTTTGATGGAAAGCTGTTCACAAGTCCCGCAGGCGAGGACAAGCAGCTCCATCGTGTTCTAGATGCAGGCACTGGAACAGGAATCTGGGCTATGGACTTCGGTAAGATCACCACCTTCTATGGAATCCTCGCCCAAGGGTACCCTGACGCTAACTCAGTGGAAAAGCGGATGAGCATCCCGAGTCACATGTGTGTCCTCATGACACTACCTAAACTCAGTTCTTTATGCTGACCATAGACAGGTCGTTGGAGTGGACTTGAGCCCTATTCAGCCGTCCTTGTGAGCCACTTTGCACTCCGACTAGATGGGGGTTATAATGATACTAATCACGAGATCCAGCGTGCCGCCTAATGTTTCATTCTATGTCGATGATGTGGAAGAGAACTGGACTTATGCAACCAAGTTTGACTTGGTTTACATCAGGATGATGACTGGTTCAATCGCAAATTGGCCCAAGCTTTTCAAGCAGAGCTACGAGTAAGCATCGCTCACAAACAGCATCTCATTGTCTTTACTCATCGACATTAGGAATCTAAACCCTGGCGGTTGGATCGAAGTTGTCGACATCACCTTTCCAGCTCTGAGCGATGATGGAACGCTGACCCCAGACTCCCCATTTTCTAAGTGGTGTAATTTGATGATAGAAGCTGCAAACAACCTAGGACGGTCTCTTGAAAGTGCCAAGTCTTATAAGGAGCAGCTCGAGGCTGTAGGATTCAAAAACACGGTCCAGGTCGTTCACAAGTGGCCACAGAATACGTGGCCAAGGGATCACAAATACAAGGAACTAGGTAAGTCTGCCTCCGCTAGTCATATCAAAGCATGTCGTATTCATTATGATCACAGGAATGTGGGCTTTGGAGAACATCAGCAACGGTCTCTCTGGATTGAGTATGGCTCTCTTCACTCGTGGCCTTGGTTGGGGTGCAGATGAGCTGGAAGTGTTTCTGGCGGACGTCAGAAAAGACTTGAGAAATCGACATATCCATAGTTACTGGCCCATGTAGGTGTATCCCCCCAACTTGAATTGCGGTCATACTAACTCTACTCACAGATATGTGGTATACGCCCAGAAGCCAGAATAGCACCTATCGCAGCCAGCCGCGCCTAAAACAATAGGGGGTTCTTTTACAGCATTTACGAGGTTTACGTCAGGTATCATTAAAAAGGTAAATATTTGCATGCATTTAGCAACGGATGTGCTATTTTGTGGATTATTGGTAGCTTGATTTAAAGAGCGAATTGGATTCATAGTTAGCATCGCAATAAAAGGATGTATCGAAGACTTCTCGATTGAAGTCTTCGCCCTGCTTATGACTCGGCTACCCCTTCAAATGCTGTACTTAGGCGATCCAGTTCCATCCCTTGACCCTTCCATCAGCCCACCGTACGCCAACGCAGCAAGCCGTGGCACCCATCAGCAACGCCCCATCCCAATATACGATACTGGTGTACGCTCCGGTTCCCTGCTCGGATGTCCCGAGCAGCTGCCCACCTACAGGACTTCCAAACATTGTTCCCAATCCTCTCACAAAGAGTATGAATGCATTCACAGCAGCGTATTGCTGAATGCCGAAGACTTCGGCGATCAGCGCCGGAAACAATCCATAGTACCCACCCGCAGAAGCACTGTAGAACACTATGAAAGCCAGCCAGAGCGAGAGAGAAGACGAACCGGTTAACAGAACACTAGACAACCAGAACGCAAAAACGCTAGATGCAGCGAGGAGTAAAGTCACAACGAGCGTGTTCTGTCGGCCTAGTCGGTCGCCCGCATAGCCTATCAAGATGCGTGCTACGGCATTTATGGCGTTGCTTGCTGCGAGAAGATTTGCGCCTTTGGAAGAAGTGAGGCCAAGAATCACGGTATAGGATGGAATGAAAGAGAGAGGTAATTGGGCACCGGCAGCCTAGAGTAATCTCAATGGTCAATTGTTAATCTAGCGAGTGGGGTTCAACGACAATGATTCGGACAACGAGCCCGCTGCCGCGTTCAAATCCTGAGGATTGGAACGATCATGTCCATTGAGAACAAGGAGGATTTCTTACCTGGAGAAATGCGGCTACAGCGGAGAACAGGAAGGCTGGTCTCGAAGCTAAAGCCCGTGAGATGTGAGTATTCCGCCTATCCGGCCCTTGCGCTGTTGAGACAGCAACAAATCGGCTTCTCGGCACTGTCCAGGCAATCGGCAAACCAGTGACCAGGTTCAACAGCGCATATAATCGAAGTGTCCAACGACCTCCAACAGCGCTGAGAAGTGATCGGATAAGGGATGAAAATATAAGTCCACCTGCGCCGCCACCAGCTAGAATCTAAAGAAACGGGCATGACAATTAGCAAAGGTTCATGAGATTCCACTTCAGAGCTCATTATGTGAAGGTCATTCGGGCTGTCTCTGTTGATGAAAGCAACTCACGGAATAGCGAACACTTTACTTACAATACCCATGGCCGTAGCCCGATGGTTAGTGAAGTACTCCGGTGCGGGAGCCAGGAGGGGGAAGTAAAGAAGGGACATCCCGAGGCCAACCAGAAACCCTTGCGTCAGAAGGAGCTGCCATATGGAGCGACTGAAGGAAGCAAGAGTGAATCCAGTGGACATCAAAAGCACCCCTGACACAGTTATTGTTTTTGGTGTCAACAGGCGCAAGACTCTTCGGCGCCAAAGCCGAGTCGACGGCGTAGTCGGCGCCCAAGTGCCATTCTCAATTCGTGAAATAATAGGATTCACCAGAATACCACCTGCCCAGGTCAGCCCATAGCATAGTGTGCCTACGAAAGCTAGCAGTGCAGTGGGAGGTGAGACCTGGGAAGATGGAGAAGGTTCTAGGACATTTTGGCTAGAAGATAGATAGTATTCCTGGAAAACTCCAAAGCACTGATTGTATCCTATAGTCAGGGCTATGGTAACGAAGGCAGAGGAGAGCACCGCTGCCTGCTTCTTCCGCGATATCGGTCTGAGGGCCGGTTCCGGCAAGGAGTCCAATTCAGGTCCGGCTCCGGAGCTCGGGTGCCGGCTCGTTAGCAACACTGCCTGAGTTTGTGTTGCCATTGTCAAAACACAGAACAATAAAAATGGCGAGCTTAGAAAACACAGATACTTGTGTAGGGATAGGAGTGTAAAATTGAGGCTCGGATGATGGGATTCACTCCAAGACAGAATACCGGAGATGCCTCAGATCGCCCCGCATTTACTGAGGTCATTCGCGCTAAATGCTTACCCTGGAATCTTTCATAGCACCCCTTATTGATAGGAGAAAACAACTTTGACATAGTGCGAGGTTTTAACAATAAGAAAGCCGCGTGAATGCTTTGTATTGGCCATAGCAACATCGCGACCAAGGAAGAATACTTAGATATCGAGTACTCCAATCTTGCTATCTCACCCCCTTCTCATTCCTCCCATTGAACCGGCTTGCCCCGGAATAGCTGTGAGCCCTGGATGAAATGAGCACTTGAACTACGGTTTCACGAAAGACGGGCCATGTCAGATGAACTTACATCCATCATTGTTTTCATTGACAGTGTCTTTGACTGAGCATTTGTTCGCATCGGTGAAACTTTGAGTCTTAAGCTGGCTGCACGTAGCTCCGAAGCAGTTGTTATCCATAGCTTTCTG